TACATGATAAGTAGTCAGTACACTGCATGCTATAATTAGCCATCTGGTTGACCCAAGTAGCATTTCTGTTACATATAGGTTTATCTATTTAAAGAGTCTAACTATTTAAAGGATATTCGGTTCGATTTGCTTGAGTGTTTCCAAAGAAATTGGCAAATGTCGATTTGTCATAAAACCAATCATTACAGCGATCAGCATTACATAATAAGAAAACACGAAAGCAGGAGTATGAAACAGATTCTTGAGTTTCATTGGAATCAGGTTCTGAAGCGGATGCAGTAGGGTTTGACACCTGCAGAACGTACATATGTACGTAAGAGTACATTGCAGAGCCATGGGTAGACGTATGCAGTTGTAGTACGGGATCGAATGTCGAAACTTAATTCAAATCAATTTCCATTACCCATGCTCCTTTCGTCATGGACGCGATAGATAGCGCCTCCAAAGTTCCCGATCTTCCACCACCAATTGATCTTCGAAAGAAGTTAACCTGACGCTGCGCTACACTCCTTCAGTACACGTCCAACAAGTTCATCTTGGCCGTCCTTTGCGTCTTCTGCCGGTCGGTTGGGCAAGCAGTAGTTGCTTTTCTTTCCTTTCTGGAGCATTCGCAGCATTTGTCCAAACCATCGTAGCTGTGACTTCTCGGTTAGAAGAAGCGGCGTCTGTACACCAAGTAATCTACCCTATACCAGGTTGTTGTGAAATCATATGAGTTCGCTCATCCGGTTTGTTGGTGCTTTGCACATAGTGTAAGCCTATGACCGATTTCGCGGAACAGTCCCTGGTCGTGCCTGCTAAGATATGTGATCGATGGCGAGTTTCTATGTGCCGTACAGTCGTTGTATGCTGACAGCAGGTTCCGCGTCAGAGTAAATAGCGTTGAAGGTTATTGTGAGGTTTGCAAAACAAAAGTACGTCCATCTTAGAACGCAAATCGTGAACCGGGTTTCAGTCAGGCTCGTCATCAGGCGGTGGACTGTTGCACTGTGCTGGACTCTTCCTGCAGGTGGTTCACCACCATATGACGCGTGAGTTTTGCAAATCCTACTCCGGATTGAATAGTGGTCGCGTACTCCTGAATCTGAGCAATTTCTTTTAACTATATATCAAAACAGAATACGTATTTATTTCAATAAACTGTGTGAAGTGAAGACACAGCGTATAAAACAACAAAATGCTGAGCTAGATGGAGAACATGAAGCAGAAAACGAGCAATAGTAAGAAGTAGAACGAGTGTAAGATTCAAGAAGAAGCTAACAAGATGAACACGGAAAAAGGTAGAAGGAAACGACAAACAAAAAGGACAAGTAGAATGGCAAATACAGTAAGAAAAGGAATGAGAAACACGAAGATGAAGAGGAAAATATGCGGACAGAAGATTGGACACAATGAGGATACATAAAGAGGGTGCGCAAAAAACCTGCCTTCCTGAATCCATGAATTGAAGTTTTTATTATACAGTACGTAATTTATTGCTCTTCGGTTTTCTGCGAGTCCTTTGTGGAACGTTAAGAATAATGTCCAGAGATTCATTCTGTACAGCTCCTGATGATATTCACAGTGCTGATGGTTTTTGGATGCGTTGAACAGTTTTACCGGAGCGCGGGCAACGTACGACGGCATTGCATGACGAGCTGAAGCACTGTTGAGAAGATGCTTCTGAGCTGTTGCCACAGCCTGACATAATTCGAAAGCATCCGATTAACGAGGCTCAGATAACAACGCTGCTTATGCATTTCAGACTTCTTCTGACACACCGTTGTCCTACTGCTCTTCACATATTAAGGTAGAGAAGTTTTTGAGTTTCTTCACTTGAAGACCCTGTTGAATCTTTCTCCCGTCTAAACAGGATCAGGCATGTAAAAATATATTAAGTTAGACCTGTTTTCTTCTAGAAGGATTAGGAACCTTCTATCGAATGGAAGTTTTAAGGAACTTCTGTATTTATTGTCAAAGACAATATCAATTCATGTGCATCGATGACTGATGTGAACGATCTGTGACTTAATTCGTTCGATTATCCCCCTCCTCTGGTTGATTTTAATGGCCAGTTACATCAGTCGAACAGCTAACTGCGTCATCAGCCTTTTGCGATTCACTGCTGGATGATGTCCTCTCCAAGACTTTGCCATAAACTTTGTTTTCCGCGACTCTCCCTCATCCAAAGAGTGTCTCTGGTTAATTCCTGCCATCGATCTGGAGGTCTTTTTCCGGGCTATTTACTCTCTTCGAGCCGAGTGTGATGTCTCCGTTCCAGTGATAGTCGGATCTTCGTCAGCATATTCTGTTCACGCTACCTTAACTTTACTTCATTTGGTCAATTGCATCGCAGAATTCTATTTGCCCTTTTGCCTGTTCATTCGTCTTTCAATCTTTTCTTGTCATTCCCAGCACACATCTGTCGACGCTCAAATATCTTACTTATCAACAAATAATATCTATTGTATTTTTTTTGGGTTTGCTGGCAAAAACTAGATTTTGATGCAGCCGGTCAGCACACCATTGCTTTAGTTGAAAAACCCAGTATATTGCGGATATTATTAGTTTGCTGCTGTTTATTACTGCTTGAACAGAATCATAGAGTTGGCTTTTTTGAAACATATAATAAATCAAGATTATATGCAGTGATACAGTGGTAATGGCAGAATACGAAGTAGGTCACTGATAATATACGTCAGAAGGACGAACAAAAAATACATTGAATTTAGGGAACTCAGTAACAGAAACGTTATTTTACGTCCAACCAGATTCATAATTGCTTCTTCACATCTATAAAGTCTCTAAGAAGACGAATTGATGCCGGTTGAGTTCAGAATACGCATTCATAATAATCGCGATATTATGAAATTTATTATTAACGAATTAAAACATTTTTAAAAACTGAATTTACGTTTACACCTCGTGCTGATTTTAATCAGGTATCAGTTCGGTCAAGGAAAATTGCAGCCGGAAGGCGCATGCACCAGGTAGCATGACTGTATATCTCGCTCTCAAGATTTGGCATGACTACGCCAAAGCACCATATATTCAGTAGTTTTAGTTGCATATTGCATTAAGTGCACCTACGGATGGACATACATTACTTAACGTTCAAAAGTTTCTGTTTGACCAAACACGATGATCAGGTTTTCTATAAATGCCCTGCCATTGCTGCAATGTCATAGAATCGTGACCTGAAAGTCCCCCCCCCCTAGACATTTTTTACGTCGTATCAAGATAGGCAAATTCTTAAATTACTTACCTGTGGACGATTTCTTGGAATCTCGATGGCTGCCCTGTACGTTAAAGAAATGATCATTGAACGGAGATAGTGTTATTGGCAAACGGGTTTGTACTTTA